GCCAGTGACAGTAATTGACATCTGACAGAGATGTCGGTAGACGGCCACGTGGGATGTGTTCAATTACAGGCGATCACACGCTGGGAGCAAAGACATCCCACGTGGTCCCACGTGACCATTAGTGGTGGTGGGAGACGATCTGGGTTCTTGGGAGTGTGTCTTGGGCGATGGTGAAGAGCGCAGGAAGCTCCTTGGCACTATAGAGGCAAAGCAAGGAGGTAGTCAAGGAACCAGGCAATCAAAGTAAATAACAATCAGGCAATCAAAGAGTAAAGTAAATAACAATCAAGCAAATAGGCAATGAAGTAAACAATGAGATAAACAGTTGCAAGCAAGTAACAACTATTTAAAACAACAAGTAAGACATAACCACACAATAACCATTATCAATACCGAATGAATAAGGAAATTACGAACTAAACAAAAAATGACTCTGAAATACATTGAAGAAGGGAAACTTGCGTTGTGAATGGGGGAAGGAGAGAAATAAATGATGATAAAGTGGAGGTAATATTGAGAAGGCAAGAAAGAATGTGATAAATGAATATCCCCCCTCCCCCCTCTCTCACCCTCATTCCCACCTCCCCCTCCCCCGAAAAAAAGAAGAGGGGGGTTGTGGGGGGGGGGGGGAAGATGAGCCGAAGCCAGAAAATGAGGTGATTAACGCTGGGATATTTGCGAGCTCGTGTTAAGTGGGAATTTAATGAAAGTCGTAAGTAAGAATTAAAATTATCGTGAGAGAAGGAAGAGTCTCGAGTGCGTAAGAATTAGTATGAGAATATGTAAGATTTAACACAAGAATGTCTTAAGTTTGTATGTAAGAATACAAGTTTTTGAAGTAAAATAGCTAGTTGTTGATTTAGGAGGAGAGTTATTAAATAGGAGTGTAAGAATACGTTGGAATTCAGTTGACTTGACTCCTGACAATCCATTAATCTGTTAATTACTCGATTGAGCAGTTAAGTGACCCGAGCCTCATGTAATATTTATGTATAGGTGAAGAATGTCTCTCTCTCTCTCTCTCTCTCGTGTCCGTTCCCGAATGCTTCAAGGCGGTTCCAATAGCTCAGATGTTATACCAATAGTGTTCAGTAATTCGCTGTAGGGTCATGAAGTTTATTGGTGATTAGATGGTATTGGTGTGTTTATCATGGATAATTTGATTTTTTTTAGTGTTATAAAGACTATAGTGACATTTGTTTTCGTCAAAGATAACGTTTCAAACACGATATATTCGTGGGTTTAGTTGGGTGTGAACTTAACTTGCTGTTGAACTTGCCTGAAACTGTAATATTATTATTATTTTTTTTTTTAGATATATACAAGAGTTGTTATACATACTTGTACAGCCACTAGTACGCGTAGCGTTTCGCGCAGGTCCTTGGAATACGATCCCCGCCGCGAAGAATCGTTGTTACAACCAAGTACCCATTTTACTGTCGAGTTAAACAGAGGCTACAGTTAAGGTTTTGCGCCCAGTAAATCCTCCCCGGCCAGGATACGAACCCATGACATAGCGCTCGCGGAACGCCAGGCGAGTGTCTTACCACTACTCCACAGAGACGTTATTATTATTATATATAGTCGCAACAATATCACCCTTTACTTCATTAAGTGTATGATCACGGAAGATCCTTTGCATAGTTGAATGAGAGAGCTAAATACATCCATTTTAGTCTTTTGACACCAAGTTTTCGCAAAGTTTCTTATAAATGTTTGTGCTTTTTCTTTAAAGCTTCCTTCAGATTGTATGCCAAGGACGTGTTCATCATTCGCTTGTGATTGTTAGTGATCATGAAGCACCGTGAATGGAAGCATGTGTTGGTTGTAGTTAGGAGTTTGTTATACATGAATGTGTGTTATGACGAATGTATGTATATTGCCCCTGATAGTGTCATTAGCATGTTAATGACACTTTGGTTGTCAAAGCTGAATTAGTAGTTTAAATATAAAGATAAAACTGTTCAATAAGAATGCAAGTTATTCGTTTGTGATATAGGAAGAACTTAGAGGCTGTTAACAAAATTAGTAACAGCGTTAAATTTCAAAGACATACAAGCTCACTCGTGCTGTTAAATTGGTCCTCAACATTGTCAACTGCAAATATCTCGTTGTCAAACTAACACAGGTTTAAAGTGAGAATATAATGTTTTAAGCAATACTAGTTGTTTTGATGCACTTCAATTAAAAGGCAGTTTGTTAAACAGCTCAAGCTGTTAAGCAGGAGCTCAAGTTGTTAAGCAGGAGCTCAAGTTGTTAAGCAGGAGCTCAAGTTGTTAAGCAGGAGCTCAAGCTGTTAAGCAGGAGCTCAAGCTGTTAAGCAGGAGCTCAAGTTGTTAAGCAGGAGCTCAAGCTGTTAAGCAGGAGCTCAAGCTGTTAAGCAGGAGCTCTCAAGCTGTTAAGCAGGAGCTCAAGCTGTTAAGCAGGAGCTCAAGTTGTTAAGCAGGAGCTCAAGTTGTTAAGCAGGAGCTCAGGCTGTTAAGCAGGAGCTCAGGCTGTGAGGCAGGCGCTCAAGCTGTTAACGAGGTACCAGTTGTTAAGGTGCCGTGTGGGTTTAAGAAATGTAAACGTTTTGTAAAAGAATAATTAAAATAATTATGATGATTACCTGTATAATGTGAGGCAATAAAGAGGGGAGAGGTGTCGTAGTAAAGGAGCTGGAACATGACAAGAGGGGACTACACCTTGAGGAGCTGGAACATGACAACAGGGGACTACTACACCTTGAGGAGCTGGAACATGACAACAGGGGACTCTCTACACCTTGAGGAGCTGGAACATGACAACAGGGGACTACTACACCTTGAGGAGCTGGAACATGACAACAGGAGACTACCACACCTTGAGGAGCTGGAACATGACAACAGGAGACTACCACACCTTGAGGAGCTGGAACATGACAACAGGAGACTACCACACCTTGAGGAGCTGGAACATGACAACAGGAGACTACCACACCTTGAGGAGCTGGAACATGACAACAGGGGACTACTACACCTTGAGGAGCTGGAACATGACAACAGGGGACTACTACACCTTGAGGAGCTGGAACATGACAACAGGGGACTACTACACCTTGAGGAGCTGGAACATGACAACAGGGGACTACTACACCTTGAGGAGCTGGAACATGACAACAGGGGACTACTACACCTTGAGGAGCTGGAACATGACAACAGGGGACTACTACACCTTGAGGAGCTGGAACATGACAACAGGGGACTACTACACCTTGAGGAGCTGGAACATGACAACATGGACTACTACACCTTGAGGAGCTGGAACATGACAACAGGGGACTACTACACCTTGAGGAGCTGGAACATGACAACAGGGAACTACTACACCTTGAGGAGCTGGAACATGACAACAGGGGACTACTACACCTTGAGGAGCTGGAACATGACAACAGGGAAATAGACCACGCGGTTCTGAGCGACTAATTGCTGGAGGTAATGGCCGCAAGACAAGTGACCAGTAATTTACCAGCAGTTAAGGAATTAGTAATAGCAGAGGGGCGGGGGGGGAATGACTGTATGTACGTGACTACGTGAAGTGGACGGGTAGACGGATAAATTAAAGACAGGTTGTGTGACTGTCTCCCGTCTCTTTGTTTTTTTAACGTGAGGTGGACAGTCTAGAGAGAAATGTAATGGCAACTGTAATTTCTCATGGATCCCCTTAAGTTAAAGTAGAGGCTTTTTAAGTGTTTTAAATGGCACTTTTGTAAAGGTTTGATTATTGTAATTTGTCTCCCAGGGTGCAGAAGGGGGGGAGGGGGAGGTGAAAGAGAGGGTCGGGGGAGGGGGAGGTTGGTTTATCGATTACGTTCTTTACGTATGGTCTGTTACTCTTGACATGTCTATGTGATGGTTGTGTTGCATAGCTGAACTGGATATTAGTTTCTATGCCCGTTAACTTATTATATAACTAGCTGGGGTAGCCGGCGTTGTTCGGATCGGCCCGGTACAGAGGTAAAGCCGGTGCTTTGAGTCGATCCAGCATTATTCAAAAACAAATCCAAGAAAAATTGTGACATTCCTTCTCTGTGTCTGTCTCCCTTCTAATGTCTATCTGTCTGATTCTATCTCTGTGTGTCTGTCTCTGTCCATCTCTTTTAGTCTCTGTCTCAGTACATGTCTATAGGCCACATGGACTCATTCGTGACATGACGCCGGTTATCGTGCCATGACTCCGGTTATCGTGACATGTGTGAAGGCGATGTACTCGAGGCAGCATGAGGATGGGTATAGGGGAATAGAGCCGTATTTGGAATCTGATGTTGGTGTCACAAACACATGTTAAAGGCTATTACAAAGTATAATATTGTTTGTTATTTTATTTTACGAACATCAGTGTATAATATTTTACAGTATAGAAACGTAAACAAGTAATAATAATAATTCAGAACCATGAAAATGTATTACAAGACTCGTCTTGGGAGTCGCTTTGGCACCTTGTAAAGTGGCATTTGTTTCATTTATGCCAACCCCCTGACCCCGTCCATGTTGGTCATGTACCCGACAGCAATTACTCAAAATTAGGTGTGCTTAGCCCTAAGTGTCTTGCTTCCAATCCTAGACAGATATTCTAATATATATATATATATATATATATATATATATATATATATATATATATATATATATATATATATATATATATATATATATAATTAGGTACTAGTTCAGCTCACACAAGAGAGAATGTAAAATAGGTCATATTAATTTTCGATATACCATATGCAAACTCAAACATTTTGATATAACGCACTCAGTATACCTTTGATAATGCTAATCTAATGAAAAATTAAACATCATTTTTTCCCAGCGATAATATTTGTCATTCCGACTGTATAGAACTTCGAAGATTTGTTACACAAAGATTTTTTTTTAGTTTAATGATGTATGCTTTAGACGTAGACCGTTGCAATAAAACGTTGCAAATATTTGCTCTGTGTGTACACAGGAGAATCAATAGTTTGTAATAACCTCTCCGGCATGTATGTAAAGCAACGGCAGAGCAACTGCATGGCTGGAGCTGCCTCAGATCATGAGGAAGCAACAGAGGAAGGGGTAGATAGTAGAGGGAGGGGGGTAGATAGCGGAGGGAGGGGGTAGATAGCGGAGGGATGGGGTAGATAGCGGAGGGAGGGGGTAGATAGCGGAGGGAGGGGGGTAGATAGCGGAGGGAGGGGGTAGATAGCGGAGGGAGGGGGGTAGATAGCGGAGGGAGGGGGTAGATAGCGGAGGGAGGGGGTAGATAGCGGAGGGAGGGGGGTAGAGAGCAGAGGGAGGGGGTTAGATAGCCGAGGGAGGGGATAGATAGCAGAGGGAGGAAGTAGGTAGCAGAGGGAGGGGGGTAGGTAGCCGAGGGAGGGGGTAGATAGCAGAGGGAGGGGATAGATAGCAGAGGGAGGGTGTAGATAGTAGAGGGAAGGGGTAGATAGCAGACGGAGGGGGTAGATAAAATCAGCTGAAGATCAAGGCGAGTTTTAGTAAACTACCACTCACCTAGTGCTTACCTAAGCGTGACTACAGGGGTAAGGTAACCCCCTAATAATCCATCCTCAACGGCCCCCCACCCACCTCTCGACCCGTTCTCGCACTTTCTTACAGTCAATGTTGACTTATTACCTATACCTATTATAGGTATAGGTTAAGTAATAATTGTAATTACGAAGCAATAAGATGCTTATCTTAACATACTAAGAAGGTTAGGTAAGGTCGGTGTTTTCTATGAAGCTTTTCAAGGTAAACTAGTATGTTTAGTATGTCACATGTGCACGTATTTAATAAGTCAATATTGACTATACGAAAGTGCGAGAACGGGTTGCACCTCCCTTTGCCAGTAGCTCCCTGCATACAGCCTCTGCACTGGGTCTTCCCTTCTCAACCCCAGGCGGTGTTATGCTCTCACGGTGTATAACAACCAGACCGTAGCTCGGTATAATAACCTTATGACACTCCATAGGCACTGTGACTCTCGATCCTGTATAAAACCCGTCCTTCGTGAGGTCGTCCAGGCTCGTTCTTCAAAGATGTATTTAAGGAGCGTCCAAGGACGGACTCCAGGGTAAGCACCGCTTCTTTCGTTTGCGGTCACCCCGCGTGTCAAGTTTTAAGATTTAGTGCACTAGGAGTGCGTCCCCCCCTTTCCAATAAAAAAATCTCATTAGCTGGATTGTAACATTGTGAATTTAATTCTGGGAAACGGTGCCATGGTTTGATCACCTCCTTTTAATAAAATAAGTCGACGTAGATCACGCTAGAAAGGCGAGTTTTGAATGGTGTTTATGGTTACTGTGAGGAGGGATTCAACTCTATATTTGTTGTTGTTGAGAGCCGTTTGAGGGGGTAGTGGGTTGTCTTTGTAAATAAGATCTGTCGGAGGGAAGATGCTAGTTGACGGGGGTGCAGGGTAGGGGTGGGTGGGGGTGTTCGTTGGAGAATGGGGAATGGTTCTACGTTGATCATACCTGCATGATGTTCTGGGAGTTCTTGTATTGCCCAAGCCCGACCAGGGGCCAGGCTCGACTTGTATATAGTGCCTTGAAGGGATATGAGGACAAGGAGCTGGGATGTGAGGACAAGGAGCTGGGATGTGAGGACTAGGAGCTGGGAAATGAGGAGAAGGAGCTGGGATATGAGGACATATTAGAGAGGGGTAGCCGACTGCTCCTGGGACTCTCTCAAACCCCCTCTCCTGTCTCTCCCAGTCTCCCTCTCTCTCTCTCATTCCTCTACCCCCCCCCCCCCCCTCCCTCTTTTCTCGTATCCCACCCTCTCTCAAGCTTCCTGCTCTCCCACTCTCTCCACCTGTCTTTCCCCCTCTCTCTCTCACCCCAAGATCACTCCTCTCCTTCCCTCCATCCCCCCCCCCTCCTCCCTCCCCCTCTATCTCAGAAAATATCATATTTATTTCACGTTCATAGTTTCCAGTGAAGAAATCTAAGGACTCGTCCAGCCACATTTCATCGATTATGTGGGAGGGGGGGAGAGGTCTCTCTTGGGTCTGACTCCCCTCATAATAGCAACAATAGAACCACCTAGACCATCTTATGTCCGTTCCATACCCCAGACCCCTCACCCTGCAAAGTTTTATAAGGCATCAATATATAGATGGGCGATTGTGCTTTCAGTAGATACCTGTTAACTTAAAAAATAATCCTCTATACAGTCGGTGGCAATAATATTTTACGATAGTAGCTAAATTAATATATTTTTCTTTTTCAAGGCAGCCTCTAACATTTCAGTTACCACGTCCCCTTGCAACAATCCACCAGCCTCCACCGTGCTTCAGGAGTCAGTGTGTGTCTTATTAATGCAACATCACACTATGTTGAAGAAAAAAGAAACCGGAGAGCGCGTCAAGTTGCAGGAGACCCCATAAACTAATTGGAGACAGGTCAAAGACTCGACATTATGCATACAAGATTGGCAGTTCCCGAAGACAAATCATTTAATCGGTGAATTATGCAAGCCGCAGAGACGCTGTCAGTATGCTGTAATGTTTCCAGCCGGAGTGTGTTTGGGGTCCTCGCATATTTCTTCATTAATGTGTTGTATTGTCAGCTTGTAAAGATGACGGGTTAATGACTTTATCCGGCCAGGGAGATGGAATGACTTTATCCGGCCAGGGAGATGGAATGACATTATCCGGCCAGGGAGATGGAATGACTTTATCCGGCCAGGGGGATGGAATGACTTTATCCGGCCAGGGGGATGGAATGACTTTATCCGGCCAGGGGGGGGGGGGAATGGAATGACCTTATCCGGCCAGGGGGGGGGAATGGAATGACCTTATCCGGCCAGGGGGATGGAATGACCTTATCCGGCCAGGAGGATGGATCGACCTTATCCGGCCAGGGGGGGATGGAATGACCTTATCCGGCTAGGGGGATGGAATGATCTTATCCGGCCAGGAGGATGGATCGACCTTATCCGGCCAGGTGGGGATGGAATGACCTTATCCGGCTAGGGGGATGGAATGATCTTATCCGGCCAGGGGGATGGATCGACCTTATCCACTCAGTGCAGTCAAACATTAGGGATTTTGCCGGTTGGTCAGGATTTATACCTAATTCCCTTGACCAATCAATTCCGTTAACCAATCGTACACATTTGTCCCTCAACAGGTGTGACCACGTGTCCTAGTGATTAGGAGATTGGAGGCAGAAATATGAGCAAGAGATTCGTTTTTATACTTTAGGGCGACAATTGAATGTTACATTGTAAATTGTATAGTAAAACCTGTTTATTAGGAGTGGCGCCAGATGTAATTAAGAGGTTTTGTTTTTCAGGGTGAAAACAAGGTGGGGGTTGGGGGGGTTAGTTGCGGTGTTGACAGCTCTATCGACAACCTGCCTTCTCATCTCAAACGTTGCATTTTTAACGGGTTCGATCAGTCCGTTAAAATATTATAGCATCATAATGTTGGTCGTTTTCTATATGCATCGGCTTGGATAAGTTATAAGGAGGGTTGCTTGGGTTCGTACGTTTCAGGTAGAACTGTTGCATTTTTTTTTTTACGGAGCAAATGGAGAAAACGGGCTGGGGGTGTGAGGGCATGGCCTCTCACTCCATACTCGTCCTCTCCCTAAGGCTGAGTTCGGTCGTGGTACTGCGTCAGGCCCTAATCCGTCCGGTCCTAATCCGTCCGGCTCTGATCCGTCCGGTCCTAATCCGTCCGGCTCTGATCCGTCAGCCTCTGTTAGATAGCGGTTGTGGGTTGCGTCCTCGGGAATGTTAATTGTTTCCCTAGACTCCTCTAGAGGGTTACCTTGAGGCGCTTCCGGGGCTTAGCGTCCTCGCGGTCCGGTCGTCGACCAGGCCTCCTGGTTGCTAGACTGATCAACCAGGCTGTTGGACGCGGCTGCTCGCAGCCTGACGTATGAAAGCATTGAGGGTACCCACAATAAGTCTAAGTACAGACTTCCTGTTCCTGACAAGGGAACTTCCCTAACGTCTTGCCACAGCCTTAAGCAAAGGGTCCCGTCATTCAACTACTCCCAGCAGCGAACTGAACGCCGGAGTGCCACCCATAACAGTTACAACAAGAATTAAGGCAACTGCAGAAGGTCCAATGGCACCATGTTTCTGACCGTGGACATCTTCAAGAGGAAACTAGACCTATTCCTCCAAGGAGTGCCGGACCAACCGGGCTGTGGTGGGTATGTGGGCCTGCGGGCCGCTCCAAACAACAGCCTGGTGGACCAAACTCTCACAAGTCAAGCCTGGCCTCGGGCCGGGCTTGGGGAGTAGAAGAACTCCCAGAACCCCATCAACCAGGTATATGTGGGCCTGCGGGCCGCTCCAAGCAGCAGCCTGGTGGACCAAACTCTCACAAGTCAAGCCTGGCCTCGGGCCGGGCTTGGGGAGTAGAACAACTCTCAGAACCCCATCAACCAGGTATCAACCAGGTACCATACAAGCCTTAGCTCTCCTATGCCTCTTCTTCACACACATCTTAGCTTTCTCTTCCTCCACTTACTATTCTATCTCGTTCCTCCTCCCCCACTATCTTCTTCTTCTCGAGGTTATCTTGAGATGATTTCGGGGCTTTTTAGTGTCCCCGCGGCCCGGTCCTCGACCAGGCCTCCACCCCCAGGAAGCAGCCCGTGACAGCTGACTAACACCCAGGTACCTATTTTACTGCTAGGTAACAGGGGGCATAGGGTGAAAGAAACTCTGCCCATTGTTTCTCGCCGGCGCCTGGGATCGAACCCAGGACCACAGGATCACAAGTCCAGCGTGCTGTCCGCTCGGCCGACCGGCTCCCCCACTAAGTCACAACGTGTCTCCGAACCCCTGATTCCTCGCCTCTCCTCCTACAGGCGTCCCAAGGGCCCAGCAAGAGCCCTGCTGGAGTGAGGGACAAGTGCTGCTCCTGGTCGTCTCCCGAGTACCTTAATTGAGAGAGACCGTGCATGAGTGTTGGCCAGGCCGTAAAACCCTCCCTTTTCGCTTCGCTCGTAACTTGGGTGTTGTTGCACCTCCTTCCATTGACCCGGGAGCAGCTGGCAACCCCATCACCCTGGCGGCGTGACACTGTCCACGGCGTCTTAGGAAGAGAGACGGGAGGGAACCCAGCATGTTCTTGACGGGGTGGACGTGCGGTGTGGCGGTAATGATAGCAACTGGAGGAGTGGCCGCTGCAGGGGGGTGGGGGACATGCTTGCAGGGGGTGGGACAAGTCATGCTTGCAGGGGGTGGGACAAGACGTGCTTGCAGGGGGGTGGGTCAAGACGTGCTTGCAGGGGGTGGGACAAGACATGCTTGCAGGGGGTGGGACAAGACATGCTTGCAGGGGGTGGGACAAGACATGCTTGCAGGGGGTGGGACAAGACATGCTTGCAGGGGGTGGGACAAGACGTGCTTGCAGGGGGTGGGACAAGACATGCTTGCAGGGGGTGGGACAAGACATGCTTGCAGGGGGGTGGGACAAGACATGCTTGCAGGGGGTGGGACAAGACATGCTTGCAGGGGGTGGGACAAGACATGCTTGCAGGGGGTGGGACAAGACATGCTTGCAGGGGGTGGGACAAGACATGCTTACAGGGGGGACTAATTATACTATTAGTAGTCGTTCTAGCAGTGTCCTTAGCAACAGCAGCTGCAGTAATATTGTTATAGAAATAATGGTTGATTTATGGATTGTTGCGGTAAAATATCAGGCAGCAATAACGGGGGGGGGGCTCCTACGCCCACGTAGGCCTACGTGGGTGTAGGCCTAGGTAATAATGATGACGGTGGCTAGTCATATATGTATAGGGCAGTGAAGTAGGGGATAGTCATGGTAGGGACTGTATTTCTGATAGTGAAGGTGATGGTCGGAGGGAGAGAGGGAGAAGAGTGGGAAGGAGGAGAGAGGGAGAAGAGTGGGAAGGAGGAGAGAGGGAGGGAGGACACAAGAATAACACAGGCTGGTAGTCAAGGTGTCAAATATATCACCCCGCCCCCCCCCCCCCCCCCCCCCCTGCCCCCCGCAGCCACCTGCAACAGGCAATAAACACGAAGAAGCTGTACGATACCCCCCCCCCATCCTTACACTCCCACCCCTATCCCCTCCTCCATCCCCCCACCCCTACCCCCTCCTCCACCCCCCCACCCCCACTATCCCCTACCCCCCCTCCATCACCCCCACCCCCTACCCCCTCCTCCATCACCCCCACCCCCTACCCCCTCCTCCATCCCACCCCCACTATCCCCTCCCCCTCCTCCATCACCCCCCCCCCCCACCCCCTCTACCTTCCCACCTCCACTTTCACTCCCCTCCTTCCCCACCTCCCCTCTCCCTCCTTTACCACCCCTCTAGATCAAAGGTGACACTGGCCAAGGACAGGGTGACACTGGCCGAGAACAAGGCGACACTGACCGAGAACAAGGTGACACTGGCCGAGAACAAGGCGACACTGACCGAGAACAAGGTGACACTGACCGAGAACAAGGTGACACTGACCGAGAACAGGGTGACACTGACCGAGGACAGGGTGACACTGACCGAGAACAAGGTGACACTGACCGAGAACAAGGTGACACTGACCGAGAACAAGGTGACACTGACCGAGAACAAGGTGACACTGACCGAGAACAAGGTGACACTGACCGAGAACAAGGCGACACTGACCGAGGACAGGGTGACACTGACCGAGGACAAGGCGACACTGACCGAGGACAAGGCGACACTGACCGAGGACAAGGCGACACTGACCGAGGACAGGGCGACACTGACCGAGGACAGGGCGACACTGACCGAGGACAAGGCGACACTGACCGAGGACAGGGCGACACTGACCGAGGACAAGGCGACACTGACCGAGGACAGGGCGACACTGACCGAGGACAGGGCGACACTGACCGAGAACAAGGCGACACTGACCGAGGACAGGGTGACACTGACCGAGAACAAGGTGACACTGACCGAGAACAAGGCGACACTGACCGAGAACAAGGTGACACTGACCGAGGACAAGGCGACACTGACCGAGGACAGGGCGACACTGACCGAGGACAAGGCGACACTGACCGAGGACAAGGCGACACTGACCGAGGACAAGGCGACACTGACCGAGGACAGGGCGACACTGACCGAGAACAAGGTGACACTGACCGAGGACAGGGCGACACTGACCGAGGACAGGGCGACACTGACCGAGGACAGGGTGACACTGACCGAGGACAGGGTGACACTGACCGAGGACAGGGCGACACTGACCGAGGACAGGGTGACACTGACCGAGGACAGGGTGACATTGACCGAGGACAGGGTGACACTGACCGAGGACAGGGCGACACTGACCGAGGACAGGGCGACACTGACCGAGAACAAGGCGACACTGACCGAGAACAAGGCGACACTGACCGAGAACAAGGCGACACTGACCGAGAACAAGGCGACACTGACCGAGAACAAGGCGACACTGACCGAGAACAGACACTGACCGAGAACAAGGCGACACTGACCGAGAACAAGGCGACACTGACCGAGAACAAGGCGACACTGACCGAGAACAAGGCGACACTGACCGAGAACAAGGCGACACTGACCAACAACAAGGCGACACTGACCGAGAACAAGGCGACACTGACCGAGAACAAGGCGACACTGACCGAGAACAAGGCGACACTGACCGAGAACAAGGCGACACTGACCGAGAACAAGGCGACACTGACCGACAACAAGGCGACACTGACCAACAACAAGGCGACACTGACCAACAACAAGGCGACACTGACCAACAACAAGGCGACACTGACCAACAACAAGGCGACACTGACCAACAACAAGGCGACACTGACCAACAACAAGGCGACACTGACCAACAACAAGACGACACTGACCGAGAACAAGGCGACACTGACCGAGAACAAGGCGACACTGACCGAGAACAAGGCGACACTGACCGAGAACAAGGCGACACTGACCAACAACAAGGCGACACTGACCAACAACAAGGCGACACTGACCAACAACAAGGCGACACTGACCAACAACAAGGCGACACTGACCGAGAACAAGGCGACACTGACCAACAACAAGGCGACACTGACCGAGAACAAGGCGACACTGACCAACAACAAGGCGACACTGACCAACAACAAGGCGACACTGACCAACAACAAGGCGACACTGACCAACAACAAGGCGACAGTGTTGGATAACACTGAAGTGTGTTGAGTAAAAGTGTCGTGTAGTTGGCTAATGGGAAAACTTGTCCGCGCGGGAACGACTTTTGTCACTTTACATATTCATTTGTTTGGTGGTGTTTGGCCACATTTGCATACGTGGTGTGGACTGCGCTCCCCGGCACCTTTGTCCTGCCTTTCCTTCATAAAACTCGCTGGGAAAATGTGTCCTCGTGCGCTAAATACTGACGACCAGAGGACTGGCAAGAGTGTTTTGGGGGGGCCTGGTGTGTTAATTTTATTTCGAGACAGAGGGATAGAGAGGCAGGGGGGGTGCTGGGGAGGGAGGGAGTGTTATCTTGACTATGCTATCTATAGGTGCTCGGTTATCAATATGTTCACTGTTGTGATGCTAGAGATATGCATAATTCCCTGCTGCGTCCTCCCTAGCTCTGTTGCGTCCTCTCTAACTCTATTGCGTCCTCTCTAACTCTATTGCGTCCTCTCTAACTCTGTTGCGTCCTCTCTAACTCTCCTGCGCCCCCTTCCCATGGTGCGTCTCCTTAGTTTCTTGCTACCCTTTAGTCTCCATGTTTTCTTAACATTGACAATCACACACACACCAACAGGGGACTGAAGGCCATTAAACCATGTAGGGAAAACAAATTCTTCAGTTGGAAAATGAGAAAGACCCGGGAGTGGACATAACCATTTGGGACATAACCCCCAAATCTGATGCCAGAAGCCCACATTAGCAGAATAGTAGTAGTAGTAGGCATCCATCAGTCTCAGGAGACTATGGAGTTGCACTCTGGTGTCGGCCTGGTCTGGAGTGGCCTCACCAGGGCGCAAAGCCAGGGTAGGTTGATTCGGGGGAGAAGCTGTTACCCAGGCAGCAGGTCGTCCCCCTCTCCACGGCGCTGAAAGTCTCCAACAGAAAAGGCATACGCCAATACGATTGGTTCCAGCGCCGTCGCAGGAACTGTTGAGTTCCGGGGATGACCTCGAAGTTGGTGAAGAAGGGCACAGGGACCTCCTGGCCAGCATCCGTGTATCCTTCAGAAACGTGGACAAAGGGGCTTTCCCGGGCCTTATATACAGCGAACGTGAGACCTTCTCTTGAATATGCATCCCCAACATAGCACCCTTACTTGAAGAAAACAAGGAGAAATTGAAAAGGTTCAAAGATATGCAACGTCCGGAGCTGAGGGGATTGGACTATGAGGAAAGCTGAGAGAACTGAACCTTAACCACACTGGAGGAAAGAAGAGATTGAAGGGACATGACAACATACAAGATTCTAAGAAAAATTGACACAATTGACAAACGTAGATGGTAACTGGGAACACAATTGAGTCACAGAGACGTGAAGAATTTGTTCAGTGTTACAGCCGTCAATAAATACAACAGGTTAGATGCAGATGTCATTGAAAGCTAATTCAATTACATTTTTTAAATGTAAATAGGATAAAAGCGTAAGAAATAAGTTACTGTATTAATCTGAAAACATTTGGAAGGCCTAGCTAGACCTATGACCTACCTACGACCTGGCCTACAAGCCTAGCTGGACCCTGCCTCCCTCGACTTGCCCTACGAGCCTAGCTAGACCCTGCAATCACATGTCATTGAGTAAACACACGAACGCAATTATAACCTATATTTTGAAGGTACTTCTCTTATCATTAGTCAGTGTCATCACCTTCTGCCACAGCTTGCATGGTCAGTGCACGAGAGGTGTGCAAGGCGTGTTGATCTTTGACTGGTGACGATGCGACTGTCCGTCTCTCCTCTACAAGTTACTGTCATTAAATTGTGCGTTTTCTGTTACAGGTGAGTGCCTGGAGTGACCTTCCTGTTGGTGAGAACCTGGAGTGACCTTCCTGCTGGTGAGTACCTGGAGTGACCTTCCTGTTGGTGAGTGCATGGAGTGACCTTCCTGCTGGTGAGTACCTGGAGTGACCTTCCTGTTGGTGAGTACCTGGAGTGACCTTCCTGTTGGTGAGTACCTGGAGTGACCTTCCTGTTGGTGAGTACCTGGAGTGACCTTCCTGTTGGTGAGTACCTGGAGTGACCTTCCTGTTGGTGAGTACCTGGAGTGACCTTCCTGCTGGTGAGTACCTGGAGTGACCTTCCTGCTGGTGAGTACCTGGAGTGACCTTCCTGTTGGTGAGTACCTGGAGTGACCTTCCTGTTGGTGAGTACCTGGAGTGACCTTCCTGTTGGTGAGTACCTGGAGTGACCTTCCTGTTGGTGAGTACCTGGAGTGACCTTCCTGCTGGTGAGTACCTGGAGTGACCTTCCTGCTGGTGAGTACCTGGAGTGACCTTCCTGTTGGTGAGTACCTGGAGTGACCTTCCTGTTGGTGAGTACCTGGAGTGACCTTCCTGTTGGTGAGTACCTGGAGTGATCTTCCTGTTGGTGAGTACCTGGAGTGACCTTCCTGTTGGTGAGTACCTGGAGTGACCTTCCCGCTGGTGAGTACCTGGAGTTACCTTCCTGTTGGTGAGTACCTGGAGTGACCTTCCTGTTGGTGAGTACCTGGAGTGACCTTCCTGCTGGTGAGTACCTGGAGTGACCTTCCTGTTGGTGAGTACCTGGAGTGACCTTCCTGTTGGTGAGTACCTGGAGTGACCTTCCTGTTGGTGAGTACCTGGAGTGACCTTCCTGCTGGTGAGTACCTGGAGTGACCTTCCTGTTGGTGAGTACCTGGAGTGACCTTCCTGTTGGTGAGTACCTGGAGTGACCTTCCTGTTGGTGAGTACCTGGAGTGACCTTCCTGCTGGTGAGTACCTGGAGTGACCTTCCTGTTGGTGAGTACCTGGAGTGACCTTCCTGTTGGTGAGTGCCTGGAGTGACCTTCCTGTTGGTGAGTACCTGGAGTGACCTTCCTGTTGGTGAGTGCCTGGAGTGACCTTCCTGCTGGTGAGTACCTGGAGTGACCTTCCTGTTGGTGAGTACCTGGAGTGACCTTCCTGTTGGTGAGTGCCTGGAGTGACCTTCCTGCTGGTGAGTACCTGGAGTGACCTTCCTGCTGGTGAGTACCTGGAGTGACCTTCCTGTTGGTGAGTACCTGGAGTGACCTTCCTGTTGGTGAGTACCTGGAGTGACCTTCCTGTTGGTGAGTACCTGGAGTGACCTTCCTGTTGGTGAGTGCCTGGAGTGACCTTCCTGCTGGTGAGTACCTGGAGTGACCTTCCTGCTGGTGAGTACCTGGAGTGACCTTCCTGCTGGTGAGTACCTGGAGTGACCTTCCTGTTGGTGAGTGCCTGGAGTGACCTTCCTGCTGGTGAGTACCTGGAGTGACCTTCCTGCTGGTGAGTACCTGGAGTGACCTTCCTGCTGATGAGTACCTGGAGTGACTTGTTTACTTTCAGCGATTCATACTCAAGGTTGTATGAAACAAGTTAAGTGTGTCAGGCCGAGTGTGTTTTGCTGGTTGATACGAGCTGGCAGACACTGGCAGGTGTGGAGGTGTTGGGTGGCAGACACTGGTAGGTGTGGAGGTGTTGGGTGACAGACACTGGCAGGTGTGGAGGTGTTGGGTGGCAGACACTGGCAGGTGTGGAGGTGTTGGGTGGCAGACACTGGCAGGTGTGGAGGTGTTGGGTGGCAGACACTGGCAGGTGTGGAGGTGTTGGGTGGCAGACACTGGCAGGTGTGGAGGTGTTGGGTGGCAGACACTGGCAGGTGTGGAGGTGTTGGGTGGCAGACACTGGCAGGTGTGGAGGTGTTGGGTGGCAGACACTGGCAGGTGTGGAGGTGTTGGGTGGCAGACACTGGCAGGTGTGGAGGTGTTGGGTGGCAGACACTGGCAGGTGTGGAGGTGTTGGGTGGCAGACACTGGCAGGTGTGGAGGTGTTGGGTGGCAGACACTGGCAGGTGTGGAGGTGTTGGGTGGCAGACACTGGCAGGTGTGGAGGTGTTGGGTGGCAGACACTGGCAGCTGTGGAGGTGTTGGGTGGCAGACACTGGCAGGTGTGGAGGTGTTGGATGACACATATTTAATCAAAACAAATCCTATACTTCAACTTACGGGCTATTCATGCCCGTGCCACCTCTTGGGTGGCTTAATCTTTATCAATCAATCAATCTATACTTAAGGCCCCCTATTGTTGGAGACATCACAAGAAGGAATTTTATTTGTCAATGCCACTTTAGCTAAATAATTCAACATTTACCGAGGCTCGCTTCTCTTTGTGCATTTTTCACAGGAAAACTTTCATTCGTGCATTATTCACCAGAATTTCAACTACACGATCATTTACATAAACAAATTGCTGGGATCAGTATTATAAACTTACAAGCAATGAGCTACAGAAACACAGGACTTCTCTCTAGTGTGTATATACTCTAGGGTTACTCTAGTGTGTATATGCTCCAGGGTTACTCTAGTGTGTATATACTCCAGGGTTACTCTAGTGTGTATATGCTCCAGGGTTACTCTAGTGTGTATATGCTCCAGGGTTACTCTAGTGTGTATATGCTCCAGGGTTACTCTAGTGTGTATATGCTCCAGGGTTACTCTAGTGTGTATATGCTCCAGGGTTACTCTAGTGTGTATATGCTCCAGGGTTACTCTAGTGTGTATATGCTCCAGGGTTACTCTAGTGTGTATATGCTCCAGGGTTACTCTAGTGTGTATATGCTCCAGGGTTACTCTAGTGTGTATATGCTCCAGGGTTACTCTAGTGTGTGTATGCTCCAGGGTTACTCTAGTGTGTATATGCTCCAGGGTTACTCTAGTGTGTATATACTCCAGGGTTACTCTAGTGTGTATATACTCCAGGGTTACTCTAGTGTGTATATACTCCAGGGTTACTCTAGTGTGTATATACTCCAGGGTTACTCTAGTGTTGATATGCTGCAAGATTGCAATAGTCTAGTAAGTAATTATCAGAAGGCAACACCAAGCCAGAACACTATGTATTGTAGTATACATATAATATTGAGCGTCCGCTCTAGTTAACAGCCTTGGAATATATAAACACTAGAGAGAGAGAGAGTGCAGGAAGGGTTCACATATGACCATTTTAAGAATCCGTGAGCTCTTAA